TTGGCTCTCTCAGCAATCAACAACTGTTCAGAGCCAATTCAGGCAGGGCCAAAAGGGCAAGGTGTCACTGGAACCAGTAGGGAGGGATTTTGTATGGCTGAGAGAGAGAGAGCCTGTGTTCCATGTTCTTAAGGTCGCTGCACCTCAAGGACAGATGCTGACTAGGAGCTCTGTTGTTTGACTGAATGTAGAAAGCTGTGTCTTGAATCTCTTTGTCATTGGTTCATAACCATGGAGTGCTGACATATAAACTAACTGGCATTTTGTACTACTTCAAAACTTGCAGAGATATCATAACAGCAACTAGTGCCACTTTTATTATATTGTGTGTTAGAGGTGTGTTCAGCTTAGTCTATACTGCAGAGAATTCAATAAAAACCAAAATGGGTTAATCATCGATGACATATACCCCATGAAAAATCACTGCCAGCATGAAACTATTCAGCAAACAGACAAATTTTTCTCAAATGGCCAGTACAGTCAGGCACCAATGCTATAAGACTGCAGCAAATATGCCAATTCTGAATGTCTTTTACAAATAAACATTATAAATTTAATACTTAATCTTACTGTAAAAAAAATATTTTGGGATGTAGCTTGAGAAATACAGACCTATTTTCATTGTAAAATTTACTGGATGATTGGGGATGGGTGGAGAGGAATTTTTAAAAATTCCCCTGAGAATCTTTTCTGTCTGCAGAATACAATTTCATATTCATAAAAGACCTAAAAAGTCAAAAAAATTTTTTTTAATGCTGACCACAGTTGTTCTGAAACCATAAAATTCATATTTCGTTTTTTATTTTCTGATTGTAATCTCCATTTTTAAAATCATCAGTCAGATGTGTAGTGTGGCCATGGAGAATAAAAGGAACCAATCAGGAGAAAATAATTCAAAATTTACAAAGTCTTATTCAGCTTCGTCTTGTTCCACATTGAAAGTTTTTTTTGATTTTTATAAAGAAATGTTTTGTTTCCACTCTTAGTGATCTCAACTATCCAAAACATGTCAGTCTCTTTCCTCTTCTGTGAACATGTCTACAATTCCTTTCATAATTTTCACCATTTTAAGGAAACCAGTAAAAAAAGGAAAAATTGAAAAGACACTTCAAAGAGGAAGTTTTATATTCACAAAAGGTCAGAGGTGTTGACTGTTGCTTCCTTTCATTGGAGTTTATTTTAGCGTTACTTCTACTGATGACAAAGACAATAAATTATTACTGAAAACATCTGTAACTAAAAATGAAGAAATTGCTGTTTCCCCAAATAATGTCACTGACTGTGTCCTCTAGTCTTATTTCATCTTATAATTACAAGAATTTTCTTTTCTTTGTGTTCTATTTTTCTTTCTCACCATCTTCACAAAATAAGAAAAAACACAAGACAAATAAACCAATGGACAATTCTTTCAAATAACTTCTTGGTTAGAGTCTTTCTTCAGAATACAGCATATGGAATATACAAATAAGAAAATGTTTAATGAGGATGTGCAGAAAATTAACTTTAAAATATGGCAAAATTTTTGAGTAACAAATGTCATCAAAAGTTTACAAAAAATGTGATTGACAGAAACAAATATTTATTTCTGTCTACATTTCTTTGAAAGACAACATTCTCCCTAATGGCACCATTTTTTTAATTCCTGTTTTTTTAAGCATTACGCCCCGAGCAAGGCATAAAGCCACTAGGATGCAAGGGGTTGCAGAAGATTTGGAGCGAGAACAGATAGGAGTGATAGAAGAAAGGATGAGGAGAGGGATAGTGGATAGAAGAAGGTAACTTGATTGACATTACATTTGAATAGTTGGAGATTATAGCTCTCAGGGAAACAGTAATAGGGAAGGGTGTTCCACAGGCGAGAGGTGCAAGGTATGAAGCTATTGGAGTAGAAGAGATGGCTACATTTAAAAGTTTCTACAGTGAAAGGGTGAGAGCGAGATGCCAGCCTCGTAGGGCGCTTGAATTCATGAAGTCTGGGAACCAGTGAAAGCAGCTCATCGGTGCAATTACCATGGAAGTGTTTGTAAAAAAGACAGAGAGAGGCAACGGCGCATCTGTGAGAGAGTGACTGTAGATGAGATGCCAGATCAGTGCCAATTATATTACATATTCATCTCTGGATCTTGTCAAGAACTCCGAGCTAAACAGAAGGTGCATCAGACCATATATGGCAGCAATACTCCATGCAAGGGCGAATGGTTGATTTGTATATTTCAAGTATCGATTACGGGGAGAAAAATTTCCTGGCCCGGCACAGAGAGCCAACTTTCTGTGCGGTGGATGAAGCAATTGACTCAATGTATTTGTTCCATCTCAGGTCAGCAGCCAACGTGAGACCGAGCAGACGCAGAGAGTTGCTCTCAGGAAGTTGACTATCAGACATTCTAATGGGGGGCAGGGAAGGATCACTGTGGTGATTAATAGAGAGTAGTTTAGTTTTTGAGGCATTTATTTGTACCAAATTTCTCTCTATATTTCTTTAAAAAAGAAAATTTTCCCT